TTTTTGAGACTGAGTCTCACTCCATTGCCCTGGGCAGAGTACTGTGGCATCCCCATAGCTCACAGCAACCTCGAACTCTTGGGCTCAAGTGATCTTCTTGCTTCAGCCTCCTGAGTAGCTAGGACTATAGGTGCCCACCACAACACTCGGGTAATTTTTTCTATTTTTAGTAACAATGGTGTTTTGCTCTCCGGCAGGCTGGTCTCGAACTCCTGAGCTTAAGCAATCCACCGTCCTCAGCCTCCTAAAGTGCTAGGATTACAGGCATGAGCCACTGTGCTGGGCCCTAAGAAACATTTCAGATTGCTTTCCCATCAACTTTTTGAGGCAGGTCATGATTGCTGCATGCTCTGATATGAAATTTGAGATTCAGAGAAGTTGCATCTGCTGTCTGATACTCAGGAACCATCTCTAGGTAAAGCTGAGTTACATGGTAAAGCCCAGCCATGCTCAGTTTTGATCTCAGGATTATAAACTAGGAGCTGAAAAACAAAAATAAGACCCACATAACTAAAAACAAAAATAAAGAAACAGACTCTCTTTTGTGGAATCTCCAGGGCGGCAACTATTTACTGACAAATAATCTAAATCATCTCAACTTCTTTTCCTTTTGTTTTTATTTAATAAATAATATTCCAGAGGTAAAGAAGGACCTGAGACTAAGTTTATACTTCAAACTAGGACCCCCAGGGCTGGAGGGGGTTAGATTCCAGTGGTCTCCCTCGGGGCTGCCAGATCAGTGTTTGCCAGCACACCAGCATCCCCAGAAGTGAATCCGAAAGGAGTTTGTGAAATCTGGAGACTTGGCCATCCCATGTTCAGACTCGGAGAAGGACAGCATGTTGTCATTGTCCAGATCCAACTCACTTAGGACGTGTTTTGTGGGAGAATCCTAGCACTCTGGGAGGCCAAGGAGGATAGATTGCTTGAGTTTAGGAGTTCAAGACCAGCCTACGCAAGAGCGAGACTCCATTGTTACTAAAAATAGAAAAATTACCTGAGTGTTGTGGTGGGCATCTGTAGGCCCAGGTACTCAAGAGGCTGAAGGAAGAAGATCACTGAGCCCAAGAGTTCGAGGTTGCTGTGAACTACGAGGATGCCACAGTACTCCATTAGCAGGTCCTCAGACTTGGCAGTGTCCAGCAGCTGTAGGGCGATCCCCGCAGGTCCTCCTCATCCACAAAGCTGTTCTCATTAAAATCACTGTCTGCTTCTCAGCCAAAGGGCACCTCCATCCTCCAGCAGCTCAGGCTGACTTGGGGTCACACTCGACCCTTCCTCCTATGTCACAGGCCAGGTGCCAGCTAAGGCTCCCAGCTCCCTCTTCACTTCCCGCTGCACCACCTCCACCCTGTACAGTCACCATTACTTCTCTCCCGGTTGTCCTGGAGTCTCCTGCTGCGTTTCCTACTCTCCCCCTCTGCCTCCTTCAGGCTGGACTCAACTCAGCAGCTGGGGTTGATCACTCTTCTTTGCTCCCTCATCACCCACTTTTCACAGCCCCCATCTCACCCAGAGCAGAGCCCAAGTTCTGATCCTGGAGTCCACCTGCCCTCCCTCTGCCTCCCCGCTAGACCGCCATCAAGCCAGGCGCACATC